GCAGCTGGGGTGGTCAGTTTCTCAGTGTTTTGCCAAGGTGGGGTCTGTTATCTCCTACAGTCTGGAATATATTGTCAACAAGATGCAAGTGAGGTTCTGCTTGAATTCAGGAAAACGGTTTCTGTAAAACAGCTTTCCTGCCAGTCAAGATGGAGTCCTTTACAACCCAGGGTAGGCTAATTGGGGTTGGGACCTAACAGGTTGTGCCCCTTTGTTTGGCTTTTGTGGATCTACTTGCTTCATCGCTTGTGTCATCTTCCTTCCTGCTGTTCTCACCTGTCCTGTGGGCCTGGCCCTGTCTCTGCTGGGGTGAAGGGAAATTTCCCCTCTATTCTCTCACAGTTCTTGGGAACAAACTGATAAAGATTAAAAAGGAGGAAAAGCATACACATTTATTAATGAGCAGAAGGGAAGGACAGCATGGAGGTGACTATCCACCTGCTCTGCATCACTCGAAAACAGCCCTTTTTCTACAGGGGCTAGGTGAGGTGCCCAGCAATCAGTGTATCTTGTGATGCAGACAAGTCTCCCAAGGTGATAGCCACCTGTGGAAATCAGTGGCGTCAGGTGTCAGACCCCCATTCTCTTCTTCTTCTGGAAAGATCCTTGAAGTGCCTCCATTGCACCTGCGGTTGATCTTGCTAATGTAGGTAGGTGTAAATTTCCTTTTGCAAAAGAACAGCTTTTCAGAGCCATTGCGGTGCCAGCAGAGACTATAGTTTCTCTGAATGGCTAACTGGAAATATATTGAGGTGGGTGGGATATTTTGCTCCCACACCCTCTGGCTGTGACTTGCACATGTCCCTCTTCCACTAGCTCTTCTTTCTTCTGCTCCTGCTGATGTGTACCCTTCTTAAGTTTCTTGGGGGGAGTGTCCCGGCTCTCTCTGTTTGGGTGAAACCCACACATGTGACATGAGTCATGTGTTGTATGTCTGATAATTGTCTGTTTCCCTTATTTGACAAGCTGTAGAGGACAGGGTAGTGACTGGTTTTGCTTCAGCACCATGGTCAGTGCCCAACATATAAGACTGTCAACAAATGCTTGTTGAATGAATAAATGTTGGCTAAAACTAACAAACTCTGGATCTTGTAAACCTGGTCATGCCCCCATCTCAGAACACCACTCAATTATCCTCGCTGCTTAAAATGCACCTCACCTCACTCTGGTTTGGGTATTTATTCCTTTTGCCTACTGATGTTCCTTATTTACAAAGACCACTAAACTAAGGTAAGGGACAAGAAATTAAGAAACTTGTCTTGTATTTTTCCTCGATTGAATTTTCCAGAAACACACTTAAAACGGCATTAACAAGCTCACTTTCCTCCAAGTGCCAGCTTTGTGGACATCATCTGAATGTACTGTCTTTCAATCCTTCTCTTTGAGTCTTTTGGCCAATTATTATGTTAGCAGCCAAGTAAGGCAGACATTTTTTTTGTTCATATGTGCATACAAGGCTTGGGTCATTTCTCCCCCCTGCCCCCACCCCCTCCCTTACCACCCACTCCACCCCCTCCCTCTCCCCCCTACCCCCTCAATACCCAGCAGAAACTATTTTGCCCTTATTTCTAATTTTGTTGTAGAGAGAGTATAAGCAATAATAGGAAGGAACAAGGGTTTTTGCTGGTTGAGATAAGGATAGCTATACAGGGCGTTGACTCACATTGATTTCCTGTGCGTGGGTGTTACCTTCTAGGTTAATTCTTTTTGATCTAACCTTTTCTCTAGTTCCTGGTCCCCTTTTCCTATTGGCCTCAGTTGCTTTTAAGGTATCTGCTTTAGTTTCTCTGCGTTAAGGGCAACAAATGCTAGCTAATTTTTTAGGTGTCTTACCTATCCTCACCCCTCCCTTGTGTGCTCTCGCTTTTATCATGTGATCAAAGTCCAATCCCATTGTTGTGTTTGCCCTTGATCTAATGTCCGCATATGAGGGAGAACATACGATTTTTGGTCTTTTGGGCCAGGCTAACCTCACTCAGAATGATGTTCTCCAATTCCATCCATTTACCTGCGAATGACAACATTTCATTCTTCTTCATGGCTGCATAAAATTCCATTGTATATAGATACCACGTTTTCTTAATCCATTCATCAGTAGTGGGGCATCTTGGCTGTTTCCATAACTTGGCTATTGTGAATAGTGCCGTAATAAACATGGGTGTGCAGGTGCCTCTGGAGTAACCTGTGTCACAGGTATATCCCCAAGAGTGGTATTGCTGGATCAAATGGTAGATCAATGTCTAGCTTTTTAAGTAGCCTCCAAATTTTTTTCCAGAGTGGTTGTACTAGTTTACATTCCCACCAACAGTGTAAGAGGGTTCCTTTTTCCCCGAATCCTCACCAACATCTGTTGTTGGTGGTGTTGCTGATGATGGCTATTCTAACAGGGGTGAGGTGGAATCTTAGTGTGGCTTTAATTTGCATTTCCTTTATTGCTAGAGATGGTGAGCATTTTTTCATGTGTTTTTTGGCCATTTGAATTTCTTCTTTTGAGAAAGTTCTGTTTAGTTCACTTGTCCATTTCTTTATTGGTTCATTAGTTTTGGGAGAATTTATAAGGCAGACATTTTTAGGAGCAAACTCCTAGATGAACAGAGAGAAAGTTGCTGCCTCTTCCTTCCTTCCTTCCTTCTTCTTTCCCTCTTTCCTTCATCCTTTCATTTTTGAGATACACTCTCACTACATAGTCCAGGCTGGCCTCAAACTCATGATCCACTGTCTTAGCTCCCCAAGTGCTAGAATTACAGGTGTGCATCACTATGTTGGCTGCTGTGGCCATTTTAAAACACTGTTAATTCGTCTTTGTCATTGTTCTTTTTTTTGCTTCAGCTAAAATTCTTTGAAGAAAGTTAGGAGGAACCAGCCAAAGTCACTGTGTCACTCTGACTTGATCTTTTAGGTGCCTGGCTCATTATAATACTGAACTGTGCAGCCCATGAAGGAAGGGTCAGAGGCGCCCAGCTACTGTGAGTTCTTGTTCTCTAAGCTTTCAGGAGAATTAAAAGCTTGGAACACTGTGGAGTTACAAGAAGTCCTTATCGGTACAAAGCAAAAGTAAAGTCTGCTCAGAGAGACAAGCAGTGGGGCCCGAAAACCAGTAGTCTGCTAAAATGCTTTGGGTTTCTCCTTTTATTGCTCTTTTAGCTCCCCCTTTACTGCCCTTCCTTCCAAAGTTCACTGGTCCCCAGAGTATGCATCTGGAGCTTCTGCTTCTTGGTTGGTTTTTGTCACTCATTCTCAGCGCATTCCTGCTGCAAGTAGGGACTTTTGAGAAAAATCAGGTTGTAGGCTGGCGCTGTGTGATTTTTTGCTGCGGCTCGAGTTACACAGGAAGTTCAGCTAACCAGGCTGTCAGCTCAACCTTGCAGCAAAGTCTTTACAGCGCTGATGGTGTTATTGAGCCCTGGGCCCTGGGCCGGGCTCTGCAAAGCCAGCAGTACTAGTCCCTTTCACCCAGAGGCGCTCACACCAGCCATCTTTCGTTTTGTGAATGTGTGATCTAGGACCACAATCTGAGCATGCTCAGGAATGAGCCTGCCCCTGCCTGTGTTTTCCTACATGTGCATAGGTTTCCCAAATTAGCCCACACACTTACTTATCTGATCCTCATGTTGGTCTATTGTCTTCACAATTGATACTGGAGTGTTGTTCCCGAGTTCGTGTCCTGGTGCAGTTGATGACTGAAGACAGAAGATGCCAGACCAGGAGTAAAGGGTAAAGCAAGCACAAAGTTTGTTGAAAGGTTAGCGAAGCACCCTGATGGGTGGGATTCAGTGAAAAAGCTAAGCCAAACAATGGCTGAAGTCTAGGATATAGGGCTCTAACTGCCTGAGGTCCAACTTGAAACTATATTTGTGATTGGTTGACACCTCATTGACTCCTCATTAAATCTGACCACCTGTCCATCCCTCTCCTTTTTTGTCTGGACATTCCAGAGGGGCTGGTCAGCTCGTCCTGGCCTTGGGGCCCACTCCCCACACTGTGCAGCTGCGTCTTGTTACTTTGGTGAAGACTTGCTCTTTCTCTGACCAGCCTGTTGTTTTCCATGCTTCTTTAGATGTCTGCTTTAAGAATGACTTCCTGTCTCTTATTTAAGAAAAGTTACTTTCACCATCTGTGTCTTTGCAGCCCCAGAGTCATTTCTGCCATTTTTCTGCTGTTTATCCCCCCTCATGTTTGCTCCCCTCACATAATCACCAAGAGAAAAACTGACTGTTTTTCAGTTACAATCCCTGCCTAGGAAAGGACTTTTACTATCTTACTGGCACATTGTATTCATAAAAAATAAGCCATCATCCAGAGTGGGAGTATGACCTGAGTTTTAGTACAGAAGCTTCACATGTCATGATGATAGGCAGTAGCTAGACAAAAGTGGTGGCTACTAGAGAAAGAAAGAAAGAAAAATCACTGTAATTAAAGTTCCCAACTCTGCAGGTGACCAGTCTCTGTAAAGAAGTAGCCAGAGGCCAGGGGTTACCATGGGAAGCTTTGAAGTCAGCCACTCACCTGAAGCTTAATCCCTGAATTCCGGGTCTATACCTTGAGCCACTCTGCTAGCCCCGTGATGGGTTTTTTTTCTAGGTAGGGTCTTGGGAACTATTTGTCTGGGGCTGGATTTGAACCATGATCCTCCTGACCTTTGCCTCCTGAGTAGCTAGGATTACAGGTGTGAGTCACTGTTGCCTGGCATTAATCCTTTTGTTTACTCAAGAGTAATTCATACCCTAAACCTCAAATAGACCTGGCCTTGGGAGCTTACATAGGTAATCCCTTTAAATTAACAAGACAAAGACCCAGGCCCAGGAACCCATCCCAGAGGCCATATAAGCCTGGGGCTATGAGTTCCTCAATAAATATTCCAACTCTAAAACCTGACTTTTTAGTTTTCACTCTAGAGGCAACATGCTCTCAGTCTATTGAAAGTGTGTTCTTTTCCTAAAAAAAACTTGATTATTACTTTTACTACATTTTCTTGTCTGGCTCGAATTCTTCTCTTCCAGATACAAGAATGGAAGGATTTACCAGTGCTACTTTCTCATAATGAGATCTGGCCACTCACCAAAATACTTCTAACAAAGAGGTAAGAAGTGGTAAATGGCAGAGAAAGGAGGTGTATTGTGGCACAAACGGCAAGGGGAAGCAAGAAAGTATTCCAGCTGATCTTCAGGGTACTGACATGAATTTTAGGTTTAAATAGAGAAAGAATTGGAGTTGCTGGGGAAGAGGTATGTAGAATTATACAGTCCTGGTCATAGATGTGGTCTGGTGGTCAGGGGTGTGGTACAGTTTATCATCATCTTAGGGTAAGTCAGGCTAGGGGGAAGGAAGGAGCTGGTCATGATAAGAAAGTCATTGTTACCTGGCATGGAGTAGCTTTGACTCCTGTCATGGGATGTTTATCCATCAGTCTTGTCCTGTAGCAGGGAAGAGGATCAGAAGAAAACAGACTAGGCCTGAGTTCTGATAAAGTAGCAAGGGGGAAGGGATAGCATAGCAGGGAGATAAAACCTAAAGAATTCAAAGGTGAAGAAGGTCACACAGCACCGGGGGTGGAAGGGCACTTAGCACTAGGCTGAAGTAGCCAATAGCACTGCATGGAACCATATATGGGTAAAACCTTGTTTTTTAAATTTTATTGCCTCTGTTACTTGTTTGCAAGGGTATATAAGGTGAGACCCCTTTGTTCTTGGGGCTCAGCCTTTGGGCACGATTCTGCTGGGTCTGTACTGGCACAATAAAATGTTGCCTCCTGCTAAACTGCCTCAGAGAGTCTCGTATCTCAGCTACATTTCTTGGGGGCTCATTATCTGGGATTATGGACACATGGTGATTTATCACCTCCCTTGTCATGGGGGTGCATCCCCCAGATCACCTGGAGGAGACCCTAGCAGGTGCCAACAGACAGCTTGATCTGGAGGGGGATTCATCCTCTTTGTGAGTTGGGGTGAGGGCCTCAGATGCACAATGAAACCCAGTGAGGTGCAGGAACCAGCAAGGGGAGGGGAGCACTGCTCATCAGACTGGAAAGAACCCGGGTTCAAATTCAGGCTAGCCCCAGGAGGCAGAAGGGGAGACTGATCACCTCCCAATGAGACACCCTAGTAACCACATTTTTTGGGGTGAAACTGTGTCTCTCAGGTTCAGGGAGTGGGATGGAAGTACTGTGCTGTGTGAGAGTGTGTGAAAGTGCGAGCCTGAGACGCAGCCCAGCTGCAAAGTGAATGAGGAGTTCCCTCCCTCTCTGTGTGTGTCTGGCAGGCTGCTAATGGGAGGAGATGGGTGGAGGCCAGAGTAAGAAAACTCCCTTGGAGTGTATGGTTAAAAACTCTAAAAGGGTATTTAATGGAGATTATAAAGTTAACTCCTAACAAGCTAAAGGTCCTTTGTGAAGCAGATTGGCCCGATTTTGGTGTAGGATAGCCCCTGGAAGGGTCACTAGATACAACCGTGGTTAATGAAGTTTATAGAGTAATTTAAAAAAAAAAAAAAGACCTAACACCCAGGAGAATGGGAAAAGCCAAGAGGCTAAAATTGGTCTCCAAAAACCAGACTTTGTTGTTTATTTAAATTCAGGTAGCAATTTATTGGGCAGACTGAGGAGAAATCAGAGTCTTCTAGTCTTGATGGGTAGCTTTGGTGCTGTAGTTTGCACATCTTCACCCAAAATGGGCATCCTGAAGGAGGACTGAGGCCCAGCACTAACTGACTTCTTACAAAAATTAGCACATGAAGGATGGACTTGCACTGATACATAAGATCTGGTCTGACTTGAAAGAAAAGGAATGTTGTGAATGTAGAGAGAGGGAAATGGAGAAATGGAAACAAAATTGGGATGAGGTCTTCATGGATGAAGTGAGGAGAGAGAGGAGAGAGAGGAGAGAGAGAGGGGAGAGAGGGAAGAGAGGGTGAGAGAGAGAGAGGAGAGAGAGAGGGAGAGTGAGAGCGAGAGAGAGTAAAATATCATGAAATGTTTGGAGACAGAAAAGGATGAAAGGTTTAATACACTCCTTCAATTGAGTTTTTATGTCTTAAAAATAAAAAGTGAATAGAAAACAATTTAGGATTATTAAAATAGGCCAGAAATACTAAACTTGCTGGTACTTTTACTTCTAGGGAGTATAAACAGGGAGAACCTACCTAAAAGGGTGGAAAAAAAAGGAGCAACTTTGACTGCTGCTGGTAAAAAAACTGTTCCAAAAGGTTGTGCAGTAAGCTTGGTCTGTTATTGAGACAGTCATGAGATGCTTATGTTTCCCTTGCTGATTGTCTAGTCAGTTTATGCAGTCGTCTAATGTGTGCGCACAGTGTGTGTAAGCATCTTCAAAGTGGTTCTTAAACTGCTGCTCTAAGGTTAATAGGATACTCAAGGTAACAAAAAACAGGGTAATTATTTTAAAGATCTCTGCTATAAACTGCTTAGGCTTTTACACATAAATATGTAAACATCTTGAGAACAGTTCTTATTATAGAGTCAATGTAAAAAAGTATTACTCTGCTCTGCTGCTACTTTTTAAGAAAAACAGGTTTTCAAACTTATTTCGATCAGGTCTCACTAGGATGCAGGCATTCAGGGGTTAACACTCCAGCTCAGACCAGAAGAGGAAAAAAAGAAAAAGGAAAAGAAAGGAAAAGGGGGGTCCACAGCCTGCAGCAGGAATCTTAAAGTTTGGGTAGTTAAAGAAATGATCTTAGCATGTTTCATTTTGCCATAAATACAATTTGGAATTTAATTCTCTTTTGTAATACATGGGTCTATTAACAAATGGGCTTTCTATAAATTGCTTTTACACAAAAATAATTTCAAAGTTGCTTTCTTTCTTGTTTCTTTCATACAAATATGAGGTTCTAAGTTAAAAGATTTTATGAGTTAATTTCAACAAGTAACATATACATATATATATATATATATATGATATTAAGATACTTTTTTAAAATAAAAGGATAAAAAATACTTAAAGAAAGATAAAGACAAGCTTCCCAGGGAATGCAAAATAAGTTGTACAGAATAAGTTGTCATAAAAAGATGGAGCTTATAGATGCTTATAAGTAATTAACATGACTAAAATCTAAGAGTTACATTAAAGGTTTTGTAAGGTCAAAATTTAATGTACTGATGTTAAACTAAAACTTAATTCTCTAAGCTCATAACAACAAGGCTATCTTTAAAATATTGTATGTCCTCGATAACATTTACAAAAAATTGTTTTAAAAATGTTTTTTATTTTGTCACAATAACTGTCAGGAATTTTTGATGCTGTAGATTAATCCACAAATTTGTCAAGACAACAAGAGTTTATTAAAACACAGAGAGACAAGAGGCAGCTGGGCACAGGGAGAACTGCTGCACTGATATGAGGGTTAAGACAGATTTACTTATGTAAAGCAAAGTAAAACAAAACAAAGCCAAAGTGCACCCTCCAGATAGGATTAAAAAAAAAACTTAAAAAGGAGCACTACACTGCAAGTCCAGGCCTCCAGTTTTTATTGGACTCAACAGAGTGGAGGTGTTAGTTCTACTCCTTTCACATGTTGGATGGAGGGAATTTTTGCCCTAGGATAGCCAGATTGGGCCTATTATTTTAGGGGGCTCCAGTGACTACAGGTTGTTGGGATCCTGCTGTATTTCATGAGCCATAAGTAAATGTCAACAATCTGGGATGTGATCCCTTATCAACATCTGAGCCATGATTCTTGGCCACTATGTTTCTTAACGCCACACTTAGTCCCCATATATATTTACCCATGTTCTCTGATGATTTTTCTTGGGGTTTTAACTACTAAGGTAACTGAGTCATGCTCATTTAAGAGTTGGGTTATGTTGGGGTTAACAATGAAGACAGCCATGTTAGGACTAGACCTCCTCCCCTTGCAGATGGCTCACCTTTATCATCCTGGATAGATGCCAAGGACAGTTGGGCAGACAGTGACCTAACTACAACTTATCTTTCTTGGTTGCCCAGCAACAATATCCCTTAGTGACTTTCCTGGTACTTTTCCACTAGCCCCCTGTATCTAGCCCAAGCCTGTGAATGACAATGGGATCTAACTCTCTTGCTGGGGTCCCCTCCTTAGGGCTCCTGCCTGAACAATAACCCTGCACTGGTGTTTGAGCCATCTCTCTGCCTCTTCCATGCCTCTTATTTTCTACCAGTTTATATAAAAATTTCTAGATGACCTCATGGTTAAACAATTGTGTCTTGGGTGATTCTAATATAGTTAGTATCCTACATGTGTCTGTGACTGGGCTATTTGGGATCACTGACACTGTTCCTCTCCCCCTATAACTGATAAAAACCTAAGGTTTTACTTCAAGAGCAACAACTAAACTAATATGTATATATAACCTCTATAGAGCTGTGATGTTGTTGCTGGTTCCTATATATTAAATATATTTATGTTTTTCAAGTGTATCAAGCTTTCTAAAATACAAAATTTAGATAAACATGGTAACAAAAAGTTAGTGGTACTGATAAACTGTTCTGTTAGTTGCTAAATTGTCCATCAGAATTTTAATCATGGTTCTTTTAAGTTTTTGTCATTACAGTTCCCTCCACCCCTCGGCGTCGCCGCCTTACCCCAACTTCCGGACCCAGCCCCCCCTCGCCTCCCCGCACCCCGCCGCCCGCCTCCAACACACCCCGCCCCACCGCCCCACCGCCCCCGCCCCCCCCGCCTCACAGCCCTCCCCCCTCCCCCGTGCACCCCCGCCCGCCTCTCCCCCCCCCGCCCCCGCCCGCCCCCCTCCGCCCCCCCCTTCACTCTCCCCCGCCCTCCTCCCCGTCCTGATCCTTCCTGGGGCATTTACAACCAAATCCAATAAAAAAAGATTCTAATACTACTTTTTGTCAACTAGGTAGCTTTTTTAGACATCTGCTTTTTTGTTAGATTTTGTTTTTTATTGTCCTTGTTAGAAGCCCACTGCCTAAGAGCCACTCCTTCTAAGCCTCTTTGTTGCTTAAATTTGGCCTAAAGGGTCTAGTTGACACTGACTCCCACCTGATCTGCTCGTTACTCCCTGTCCACTCCCCATGGGCCCAAAACCAACCAGACAAAATCCATAAAAGAGCAACCAATCAATCG